TATATATATATATATACATACATGTATAGGTAAGTGTATATATATTATTTATTTATTACGTGATCAGTCAGGGTAGATTCAGCAGCTACTCACACTACCAGCTTTTACTATCAGCCAGCTACGAGTATGCAATCACGGCAATTAGGCGACATACAGCCAGCGTGACATTGCCTAATTGCTATCCCCCTCAATCACCACCATCTAATCATCATCACCATATAATCACCACCATGCTATCCTCCAATCATGGGATTTGGCTGTATCACTTTGGCCGAAAGTTTATTGCCCATATAACGATCTCGAACGACATTCGCGATGACCCATACAACGACCTTCATGACGACCTTTGCAATGATCTCTCTGACAACCTTCACGACGCCATCCCAGGTTGATTGTTGGGGCCGTCCGACCACGAAACCGAGGCAACGCTCACTGATAGGTCCCACGGCCGACTCCAGCGCCACCGTCGCTGCCACCGCCGTTGCCGTCGCCGTGGCGATCAGATTGTCTGCTTCTCGTAGTAGACGTCCTCATCGTCGGAGTCGTCCGAGTCGTGGTACGTGAGCAGTGACTTGCGCGACGGGTTTGCCTCACGCCGCCCGCCGCTGCCGCCGCCGCCGCCGCCGCCGCCGCCGCCGCCGGACGAGCTGTCGAGCTTCTGGTAGCGCGTCTTGCTGCTGCGTATCGTGCATGCATACACACACAGCGAGATCACCATCAGCGAGACGGTGACTCCACCTGCAGGACGACAAAGGAGACAAAACGTCGCATCATGTTTCATTAACGTCCAATTTAACAACTCGTTAAATAAAAGAGTTGTGTGCTGTCAATCGAATCTTGAACGCTGTGAACACCTTGAATACAATGAGCACATGGAATACTGTAAACAACTCAAATACTGTGAACACATCGAACACTGTGAACACTTTGACACAATGAGAACCTTGAATGCTGTGAACACCTCGAACGCTGTGAACACCTTGAACGCTGTGAACACCTTGAATACTATCATTCCCATATTGTTTCATACAATGTCCATGCGGAACATAACACTGTTCGCACGCGGGTGCGGGCGGGGGCAGGAGCAGGGGGAGGGTTGCAGGCAGGGTGAGATGCGGGGGGTAGGGGGCGATAGCGTACCTGCGATGGCAATGAGCAGGTAAGGTTCGATGCCAAGCAGACGCTCATCCTTCGGCAGCTGCAGGTTTCGCACGACGGCCGTGTGCGCCTGCCGCACGTGCACAATCTACAGAAAACGTGTGTCAGTAATTCGCACAGAAATGTAAGTACGACAAGGGTTACAATACGGCTGCTACTGACAGACAGTTTTACGCGATTGCATGCACACATTACAGCTCCAATGAAAAAATAGAAAAACTTGACAAAAACATGAACGTGAAACGAAGATGAGAATCGAACGTGTGAAAAGATGCGCGCAACACTTTACATGGTTAACATGAATAAAAGCATTTATATATAATTATACGTATCCTAATACGTACATTCATGATACCATGTATGTAAGCATATAGTGTCTACAGTCTATATAATATATGCATGAGTGAAATAACACTGGCATTAATCTTGTAATTTCTTTAAAATTGTTATTTCTATAATACTATGAATACCACCTAGCATACATAACATAATATATATAATATAAATAATAATATAACGCATAGTATTCAGTGACTGAATGTTCAATGTCTTTGGTGCACGCAATGCAAGATGGGATACCTCGATCTGCGAGCGATAGCCGGACGCCGACGCGACGAGCGTGTACTCGCCCTCGTCCAGGAGGCGCCAGTAGTCGCCGTGCTTCCCCGTGTAGACGGGCTTGTCGAGGCCTTCGATCGCCACCTTAGCGCCCTCTATCGGCAGGTTGTTCGCATCGCGGATAAAGCCTGTCACTCCGTGGTGAACCTTTGCGACATGAAACGTGAAATGATTTGGAATAAACGTTGGAGGGCCGTGAGAATTCATGGTCTAGATTAGAGTGAGTGTAACAATTAATTCCACACAGACTTATATGCATTTGTCACAAATCTCTGTCAACAATCGTCACAGACGGACAGTGTGACCCGTTTCCACGCTGTGAACACTGACGAAAGTATCTCTCGAAAAATATCAAAGCAGATGCTGACGACCGTAAGGACTAATTAATTCGTTGCCATGACGACTAATCTACCTCATTCATCATTGCCAGAAGGCCGATCTTGTGCTGTTTCCAGAGCAATGGCAGCTCGTCTGCTTTGGGGTAACCGCAGCAACCAGTAAACACTGTGACAGCCATGCCGACGGTCGAGGAAAACACGTAGTCCTGCATGCAGGCAAGAAAATCACTTCAATAAAACTATCGATTACGAAAATGGTTCCTAACATGTATTTATCTGGTCTGGTTACAGACCAACAGACAGAACGACTAACTACCTAAATTAGTGGCTATGGTTGTGAGCTGGCAACGTCTACAAAGGTGACAGGTGACAGATGACATATGGCAAGGCGATGAGTTACAGATGGCTGGTGACAGCTGACCTGCAGGCTGCGGCCGTCACTGTCCCGCACCACGGTTCCATTCACCGGCACCGACTTGAACGAAGGGTCGAACTTGTTTGAGCAATGGCTGTCGTCATCTGCGTCGTCGAATCGCATCGCGGCGGCATAGTGTTCCGCAATGAGTCGTGTCGTCGACTCGTTACCTGTGCAGACGACGCAAGACGATAGAGACGACAGCTGAGATGTCGACTAGCTAGTTACGGCTGAGATGTCGACTAGCTAGTTACGGCTGAGATGTCGACTAGCTAGTTACGGCTGAGATGTCGACTAGCTAGTTACGGCCGAGATGTCGACTAGCTAGTTACGAGGTGTTTCTCGTCGTTGCTCAATCGTCTACGAACGATGCTAGAATTTATAGATACAATACTGTATATATATATATATTTGCGACAGTATAGTGATAGCATGTTGAATGTACTCCCTGCACTAGGGGTTCCCTTCATTAGCATTATCATGCATCAGTGATAAAAATCAAATAATAACAATATCAGTTATTAATTAACGATTTAGTGAATTAATGAAAATCAATCACAATAACCTAGAGTAATAACATTATTGGAATATTTAGCGTAATAATTAATTAGGCGAGCGATCAATAAATTAGTGGGGCGTAACTTACGCTGAACCGGATAGGCGACCACGTGATTGCCGCCCTGCAGGGAGATGGAAAGCGCGAATGGTATGCTCTTCATCCAGTCAGCTACCGCCTGCACCTCTGGTGGCAATGCTACTGCGGTGACACCTGCTTCTGAAACGAAGAAGGTATACTGACTAACTAATTATTCATAACTTAATTAGTTAAATATTAATTATTAGTTATGATTCAACCATAATAACTACTAATTATAAAATAACAGCTTTCAATAATAATTATGACAGTTGGCATCACTCCAGCTGCGACGTGCGGTGGATGGGTTCGTCTGCACACGCACCGGGGAAGGACACGTCAAGGTCGATGTGGTTGGCATTGCTGCGACCCTCCGTTGAGACGCACTGACCGTAGAGTGCTGAGTCACTGCCATCAGGGTTCAGCAGAGGCACTATGTGAATCGCCGTCTCATGAATAAACTAAGACAGAGAACATCGAGCATTGAGACAAGGCAGAGAATCAGCCAATCAGCATTGAGACAAGGCCGAGAATCAGCCAATCAGTATTAAGATGTTCTGTCTAGCAAACATAAAATGCTGCGTGGCAAGAGCCACGAAGTCGAGAATTTGGTGTGTATGCGTGAAAAACACGTATGAACTACACTAGCTTGTCTAACCTACCAGACCCAAAGATTTAAGGGGGGCGTGGTTATCAGGGGCATCATTAAGGGTGGAAGGGTCGATTGTGACAAATATACTAAGCGGCAATAAAGTGAATGCAGGCTTTTATTATCTTAGTACAGAACTTAGGATGGACAGACACTGCAGTGGCGCCTCATGGTGAGGATTAACAGAACTACTAGGTGGGGATCAGGCACAGTCGTCGCCTCGATATCGTAATCGCGCGCGTGCACGCACCTCCGTTATCATGTCGTCCTTGCGGTAACTCTTCAGCAGATGCTGCGCGAACTGCAGCAGCATCTCGCGGCCGACGACCTCGTTGCCGTGGATACCGGCGACAAGGGCGACGGCGGGCGTACCGGGCTGCTGTGTGCCGGGCGTGCGGCCGACCTCCAGCGCGAGAATGTCTCGCTGCAGTATCGACCGCCCGATGCTAACACAACAATACACGCATGTTATTGTCATATTATTCAGTATATTATTTGTCAATATGTTAATATAATATTAACATTACACATCCTTTTGAAACTATGGTGAACATTAATCATAGAGAAAATACACCAAAATTGAACAAACACGTAAGGACAACCAGATTACTGTAGAACGTTGATAGCCGATATACGAAAACGACTATGACCAGTAGAATTTCTTGTTGTTTGTTAAATAGATTTCTTGTTGAGCTTAACACCTGCCAGCTAGTGACAGGGGAAGGTTGGGGGGGAGTGTACCTGTAGAGGCGAGTGATGTGAGGGTTGTCTTTGTTTATCTGCTGCATGAGCTCCACCGTCGACGCGTAGTCGTGATACGACATACGCTCCACCTCCACGTCCAGCTGCAGCTGCAGCAGCGCCATCGTGCGGTCAACAACGACAACTTTCTTGCTCAAGCTATCGTAGCCTGCAACGCAACGAAGCTACGTTAGTTAGCTAGTGGAAACAAGGGAAAGTTGCATTGCACCCTAACCTTGCTAATTCTATATGCGTAACTGACTCCAATTGGTTCAATCTACTCCCCGGCCCTCCCCCATCTGTCTATAAATGACACGCCTTCTGAAATTCCTCAGGAGCTTCTGTATATACAGTGGACCACCGAGATATGAATTTAATTCATTCCACAGATTTGTTCGTATCTCGATAAATTCGTATCTCGAACCCTATATAGGACATACAGTAATTTACGTACAGCAAGTGCAATCATGAAAGCACAACCACATTCAATGAGTCACATACTTAAACTGACTCATTGAAAAAGCGCACGCTAGGCCTATGCCCTGATTGGCTGATTCGTAAGACGTTCGTATGTTGAATTTTATTCGTTTGTCGAATACAATACGTTCAACGGGGGGAGGTCGTTCGTATCTCGAAAATTCGTATGTCGAGCCGTTCATATCTCGGGGGTCCACTGTATATATATGCACATAGATATATTCTGCAACTCTGATTCTGTTCGACCACCGAATCTAAAAACAAAGAATCCTACGATCTGTCTGCTGCTCTCGTCGACGACGCATCGTTGCCACGGCGACTCATCTCACCTGGGGAGCGGGCAGTGACGGTGTAGGTTCCCGGGGGAAGGATCCTGAGAAACTCGGCTCCCGCGAGCGGGACAGGGATGGTCGAGCTCGGGCCGCGCACCTCCACGCTCGTGTTGACCGTCAGCCGCTGACCATTGTTGTTGAGCACCATGCCCCGCACGCCTGCAGCAGCAACACGAGCGCAATTATAAACCAGAGAGAGAAAGAGAGAACAAGAGAGAGAAAGCAGTGAGAGAGAGAGAGAAGGGGAGAGAGAGGGGGGAGAGAGAGGGGGGAGAGAGATGAAGAGAGAGGGAGAGAGAGAGAGAGAGAGAGAAAGAGCACTCGGCAAACAAAACCCAGACAGGAAACTGGCCTAGTTCCTACAACAACCAACGCAATGCGAAATAATTCACCACAGAGTATTAAGTCGTCAATAATGCCAGGCTACACTACGCTCACACACCTTGCTGTGCTTTCTCTATAAAACGCAAGAGAGACTCCAGGTTGTCCATCCACAGATCCGGTAAGGTGCTGCCACCTGGATAACTGCAGCAGTCGACGCCGGCGGATAGCTAGAGGAGTAGATAGATTCGCTTTCACCACGGCTCAGCGAGAGACTGTGACGTTTATGTTGTTTGATTTCTTTAATTATTTTTGTTATTTATTTTGCGCATTCGCACCACCCGGGGGCGCCACTCACCATCAGTGTGCCGTACTTGTCATATGCGTACGCTTCGTACGAGTCATACTCAGGTGTTACTGCGGCAACGTCGTCGCACGAACGGTTGACGGCCATGTCGGGGTGCACAGATGCATAGGTGGCGCTGAGGTCACTCAGCAAGGTGGCGTCCTCTGGTAGCCGCGCCGGCGATGAACTGAAGCATGAATTAAGAATTCACCAAACTAACCCATAGTAAAGGTGTCCCTGACTAGACCCTTGCATACCTGTGCCACGCCTGTGTATGAAAGGTTTATTATTTCATCACTACTCGCACTGTAATATTTCTAAAACGCAAATAAGTCAAATTGAATCGAAAATTGAATGAGAGCGACAATGGTGTCGATGATTTCATTGTGTTACGTCACCTCTTAAGATATTTGTCACGCAAACACGCGTGCAATTACACAGCCGGTCACGCGCATATGCTGTCACACCCGTGCGCCCGCGATGGCATGTGATGATCGCGTGTTCGTAACCGTGGTTACGCGCAGCTGCTGACGTTACCTGGTGCCGCTGCGGCCGCTCTCCATGCTCAAGGCGATGTGGAAGTGATGGATGCTCAGGCACTGATCGAACGCCGCAAACTCGCTCTCCTGCAACCGAAGGACGCACACGCTACTGAAGCCGTCACATGTTATGTCACACATGCGTGTGACACCAGCGCTACTGTGACATGTCAGCAGCAAGTGACAGGCAGCGTGGATGCTGACAACAGTTCAATACCGTGTCGACAAACAGTTATAAATGTGCAGAAGAAGTCTCTAGATTTTTGGCATTAGCTCTTAAAACTGTTGGAGAAGACATAACGAGAAGTAGTTAAAGCATATATTGCGAGAATTTTCCAGTGTTTTCCCCACTTTCATGATACCTAGTTACCTACCGTTATTGCTTGAGTAACAGCAATTGTCTAGAGTAACGATAAAATGTCTTAGAACCTTCGTATTCACCAAATGCAATGAAATCATGCACGATTACAATTTTGCGTTCTGTTTCTGTTTACCGTTGCCATCTCTCGAATTTTCTCGCGGTAGCGCGAAACATCTATCACGGTGCAGCAATGCATACCACGCACCGTAGAAATCAGGTCAGAGTGTAAACACAGACGCTCATACTAGCGTAAACAGCAGTGTAGTACTAATGCCACGTGAAGTCTGTTATTAGAAAAGCTTGTGGATTGCCAGTCAGATAGTAACACGGGAATGACAATGACAGAAAGTGCTCTGAATTATTGACATAAAAACTCAATAATATTTACCAAACAGAATTGCACGCCCTTTTGTTTTAATTATGTTCGCTTGTTTGAGACGCCATTTGTAATTTTTGAAAGTCTTGACTCGAAAAAATTTGCTGCTGGTATGATGTGGTCAAATCAATTTTTCTAAGCTATAACTGCATAAAATATTGGTGTTTTGAATGTTGGTGTAATAAGTGATATTTTTGCTGTCAGGTGAGACTATATTCAGCTATATTTAGTTTTTCTGAGCAAAATTCTCGCAATGATCGTTTTAAGGACATTCAGAAGTTGTAAAATATCTCACAGTTCTGGCACAAAACCTGGTAACAGTTTGAAACGGTGAGTGGTTTAATCGATCTAAACGATGAATCGATCGAGTGATAAAGATGCACGGAAGCCATTTTCGGCCCAAAACCACAGCAGAGCAGAGAACACACAGACACAAAAAGACAGAACATTGCAGTTTTAACATTAGCTCTGACACCAGTTTGAAAAAAAAATGAACAGGTAATTAGTTTGAGCAATCTAATCGAGCAGCAGTGAAGCAGGTAGAGAGACGGGAGCGCACGCACACGTGCCGCGATTACCGTGGTCACGTAGAGTGGCTGCTTGCCGGTGTAGTTTCCCGCGCAGACTCCCTCCACCCCGCCTCCGTCCGCATACACCGCCGGCACAATGTGCACTGTCGTCGTCTGAAATATCTTACCGATGCGCGGGTCGTTCTGCGCCATGCCTGAAACGAGAAGAATGCAGTAGCACGTCGTGGGATGCGCGTGGTTGGAGCGTGCAGCGGAACAAGGTCGATTGTTTCCTCACCAACATGACAAATATTTGTTTCTCCGACAAACATCTACCGAGCTCCGCCGACTGAAAACCGCCTTGATGTCACGATGATACGATGTCATAATCGTCTTTTTTAATTATGTTACAATATTGTTAACAAACTAATATTGATAATGATTTAATTCAATGTCAATTAATTCAATAATTAATCATAATTAATCGATTAACGAGATAATCAACAATGCGGTCTCACCCGTCGCCAAGTGCGTTGCCAGTCGCAGCAGTAGCTCGCTCCCGATTGGCTGCTCCGGATGCATCTGGCCAATCAGGCCCACCTTCGCTTTGTTGGCCACGCCCAGCTGACTTTCCTCTAGATGGACGCCAATGATCGGCTTCCCACTAGCTGTGTTGCCTGCAAAAGTTTCCGCCGCAGATTCACGAAGCCATACAGCGGCAGAGAGAACGCTGATGTGGCGATAACTTAACTGCTCAATTGCTCAGTAATCACTCATTAATCACTCACTGACAACTCATCGATTACTCATCAATCACTCATCGATAGATTATCAATCATTCATAGACCACACATTATTCACTCACTAATAAGTCACTCATCGATCACTTGTCAATCACACATCGATTATTTTTCAATCACTCGTCAATCACCCGCTGACCCACGTGTCGATCATTCATCAATCATTAATCAATCATTCATCAATCATTCATCGATCATTTATCGATCATTCATCAATCATTCATCAATCATTCATCAATCATTCATCAATCATTCATCAATCATTCATCGATCATTCATCAATTATTCATCAATCACTCATCAATCATTCATCAATCACTCATCGATAAATCATCGATCACTCGTCAATAACTCATCGATCATTCATCAATTATTCATCAATCATTCATCGATCACTCGTCAATAACTCATCGATCACCCGTTGATCACTCACCGTACTGTACGATGTGGACGAGTCCCCGGTGTGCGTCTGCGAGCGCGTAGGCTGTGCGCGTGGGGTCGGCGTCGTATGCACGAGGTCGCAGGTTGCGCTCGAGTGCGTAGTCAAAGCTGCTCGACCAGGCGGCAGCGTCGCGCTGCAGCGTGAAGTTAGCTACGGTCGCCTCGCCGCCGCCGCGCGGCACCGACACCACGCGAGTGCTCTTCTCATACCTGCGGGTCGCGAGGTCAAACACGTAGGTAAAGGTCGGATAAGTCAGACGTTATATCGTCATTTAAGGTTCTTCGCTCGAATGACTTTTTTTCTCGGGTGGTATTGTTATTACATTTAATATTACTATATTTACTATCCTTACTAAGTTTAATATTGCTGCATTTACTATCCATTACTATCCATACATTTAACATTATGATACTTACTATACATTACTATCCATACATTTAACATTATTATACTTACTATACATTACTATCCATACATTTA